ATTTATATTTGAGATTCTTCCACGTAGCCTTCCTTTGCTTTGATTGCTGCTGCACACTCTTCATTCTCTCCATGAGCTTCATGAGGTCGTCACCTGAGACAGTTTTCCAACAGTCTTGAAGGAGTTCCCAGAGAAGCCGAGCACTCGTTGGTCCTTTGCCTTCACTTTGTTCTCCATCTCATCCCAAACCGTCTCCACTGGCTTTAGGTCAGGTGACCGTGTTTCGGGTCATTGTCATATTCAAACAAAGTAAATGATGGTGCAAGTAAAAGCAAACCAGATGGGATGGCATGTGGCTGCTGTGGTAGCCATGCTGGGTTAGTGTGCCTTCAGTTTTGAATAAATCCCAACAGTGTCACCAGCAAATCACCTCCACACCATCACACCTTCCCCTCCATGCTTCACAGTGGGAACCATGTGTAACATAGTTTAAAAATGGTTCAAGTTACATCCTGCTAAATGGGACGATGGCACCACCTACTGTTGGAAATGTCACGCTGCAGTGACTGAAGGGCAAATGATGTTGGGTAATAATTAGAGTGATGGAGGATTCCCGTAGAGATAACGAATGGGTAAATTTCATGGACAGAAATGATGTTACTAGTCCGTAACAGAAATAGAAGTTGACCTGGCTATTTTTGATTAAATATATTAGCTGTGGGTTCCTTCTGTCATCCTTACGTTGGGTTAGACGTTCGCCTTTTCACACAAGGCTCACGCTGGTTGTCCACGAAAATGACCATTCTACTTTGTTGCCCTTCGTCATAAATGCGGATGCTGAGTAAAAGGGGCTAAACTGACCCGACCCCGTTTGTTCATTTAAAGAACCCGAAAAGACATAACACTGAGGTGAGATGCATGCATCCTCAGCAGTGGAGGCGACTCTTGGTCTTCCTTTCCTGGGGCGTCCTCAAGTTTTTGCAATTTTCGGGACTGAGCTTCAGTTCTTAAAGTAATGATGTCATTTCTCTTTACTTAGCTGATTGATTCTGTCAAACAGGGCTGTCAGCTGTGTACCAACCTGACTGCTGCGCAACACAACTGATGGTCCCAACTTACACCAATGAACCCTGTCAGGCACACCTGTGAGGAAAACCATTTCAGGTGACTGCATCATGAAGCTCATTAAGAGAAGGATGAGGGTTTGCAGCTCTGTCAACAAAGCAAAGGGCGGCTACTTAGTAAAAATAAAGACAAACCAATAAATGTTCAAACTTTTGACAGGTAGTTTACAGTCAAAATATAGCACAGAGCTGCGTTACATGTCAAAAAAGAAAAAAACTATACAATAGACAGACAAAGAAACTTGATTACAGACCTATTCACCAGGCACTTCTGTTGGAGGATGCGGTAAACCTCAGCTGAGGTGGCAGGGCCCTGGAGCTTCTGACCATTGAAAATCTCCTTCTCCAGCACTTCAATGCTCTATCAGCAGGTGTGACATGAAGAAAATACAAGAAAGTGCACAATTAAAAAGCAGTTCGTCATTTCAAAGCAAAAACTGTTCGAGCTAATAAAGTTTTACATAGTAATGCGTAATGAGGAAAGAGCAGATACACTACAACAACCAAACGTGACGGTGCACATACCTTCCCTGTTCTAACAAAGGCCTCTGCTGCTCGTCGATTGCGGCCGCCATAGCACGTAGCGATGAGGTCGGCCACACCACAGCTCTCCAGAAAGGTCGATGTGGAAACCACGCCATTCTTAGAAAAGAGTTGGGCGAAGGTTATCATCTCCATCAAGCCCAGACGGATCACAGCTGCCTTGGTGTTGTCTCCACACTGCAAGCCATCACAAAAACCTGCACTCACTGCAACGATGTTCTTCACCAGCAAACAAAACAAAAACACACATTTAGAAAATGATGTAAAGCTCTCAATGCAACTAACAGAAGACTGAAAATCATGTACTGATGAGTGCATCACCTCACACCTAATAAAGCTCATTATTAACACGACTGTTCAAGTGTGTTGGTGCACCCATGCTCCAATTTAAACACTACTCTTAAAAAATATATAGATATATAGTATAAAATGATGAAAATCATCGACGCTGCATTCACCAAACCACAGAGCATTTGGAATATCAGTTTATTCATAGGTTCCATGCAGTCAACACCTGTGGCCAATTACATATCTGACACCCATTGAAAATATGACAAAAGAAGTCCCGGCGAAG